CAATCAAGTAAATCAGGTTTTGTTTAATAACAGTATATCTTCAGTGCTTTATACTGTATTTGAAATGAAGCCTTTTTGCTCTATCATGTGGAATTATCATATTAGGGCTTATGCCAATGATTATTGTCTTTGTGCAGTGATATCTTTACATGAATCAAAATAAAATACCATTTTCATCACCAGCCCATAGAGATGCCTACATTTTCTTACGTTGACTGACCCCCGGCCATAAACACTGAAAAGGTTTGAATGATTTTCAATGATATGAAACAGAGAGAAGCCGTAAATCCTCGTCCACGCTCGGTGAGGAGGGAGATCCTCGCTGAGTGTGGATGAAATCTGATGTCACATCCATGTGGCCTCCACTCATGAAGAGATATGGGCAGTCTGGCAAATGAGAACAGTCATGAGGCTCCTTCCCAGCGGGAATGTCACTATAACATACCTCAGACGTATACTGTGAGCCTGCACACACACACACAGATGCACTGAGCCCTGCAAGTAGAGATGTTTACGCTCCAGTCCGTGTTGAACATGCATATTCAAACTGATATGTCGGACTCATGAATCTGTGCATGCTGACACATTTACATATGGGCTGTGATGCGGGGTGACAGGTCTTATGCCACTTCCCCCCCCGGGGTCACCGGAGGGGCGGGGCCACGACATGACAGGCCGAGAGATGCGTTTCATTCACTGTCCAATGACACAACTTTTCCTCCTCTCTCTCTTTTAGTCACATCCTTGTGTTCAGCAGCGACGGCAGAACATTGTGACTCATACCTGTTTTCCTGTCGTCTGTGCTCGCTCTGCTGCAGCTCGTCATGTTAGTGCAGGTTAACTTCCTCACTAGGGTGAGGTCAAATGATCACTTAGGCTTTGTTGCTCTCTTGTTGTTGGACACTGTCATGAGGTTTCAATTCTTAAAGGACATATTTAGAGCATATGAAATATATGCACATCTTAGATTTCCCTCTCGTCACCTACATGGATACAGGATCCACAGTAGGTACATGTGAAATGGCAGCAATATTGTTTTCATCACTTCTGTTAAATGCAAAAAAATGCTTCTTGTGCGTAATATATCAGAGTCAGTCGTTCTTAAGTGTGTTTAATTTGTAATATACACAATCTGACTTTTGGGATGATTTGGCATTGGCAGCACTAATTTAAGTGAGTTTTAGTTTCTACCTGAATCAATCTTCGACAAATTATATATTGTTTGAAAACTCCAAGTCTCCTGTCTTTTGTCTTGATGATTTCCACATCGCTGCAGCAGCTGTTAAAACATAACTGGCTCCTAACTGTAAATTTAAAGAGTTACCTTTTGAGTGAGACCAGGGTCATGACTGTGATCAAATGTTGAACTTTTTAATTTGGTTGCATTATTTTGAGGGTTGGGCACAGAAACGTGTGTGTGTGTGTGTGTGTGTGTGTGTTAAGGAACTTAACTTTATCTCATAAACAACATTGCTTACAATTAAATATAAATAAATAAATTCTGCAGGAACCGTAAGACAATCCAAATTAGACGTTTTATTACCATATTGAGTGCACTGTGTTAATTAATGTATTGGCAAAGACCCAAATTGTTGAAATCAGATGTATCAGTGAAACGTTTCCTGACAATGTCTTTCATTTGTCTTCCCTACAATATTAGCTTTTACAATATGATGAATTCAGCGTGATGTTTCTATTCGTCGTCAGTCGATACGTTTCTGAAATGCTTTTCATCTTATTTGTTCTAATCCTCTTTTCATTCCGACTGCCATCAACAATTGAAGTTGGGGGGAGCTGATGTTTGTGGACCTCGCAGGACTGTAATGAAAAGGACCAATCACTTAATTTGGACCAGTTGAAAGGATTGGCTGGTATAACTCTCTGTCACAAACTGAGCCGCCGGCCTGCGTACACCCTGTCCGTGCTCTCACTGCACATGACGGAAATTTTCAAAGAGGTGAATAAAGCCAGAGGTGAATAAAGCCAGAGGTTGGCGAGCGAGTCGCCAAAAAATCGACAGCTATTGTCAGCCAGTGGACGTTCATGTTTTTTGGGGGCGTAGCTTTGATGAGAGGGCTGATGGGATAGAGTGGCATATTGTAGCCTGCTCTTGGTATTTATTCCAGGCTTACCAACCCTAGCTTTAAACTAAACCACCATCTTTCCCAAACCTTACACAAAATCCATTTGCGGTTATGTGTAACTCAGGATCCCAAACCCACAGTCCTTTGCTGTGTGTGCTCACCATCCCCCCAGTCCGTCCCTCCATACATTCATATACCACCTCTGTATTGCTGGATATATAAACACAAATTGACACACATACAAGCTCAATTTACTTCAGTTGTAGTAGGTCAGGTTTAACAGAGATTCCAACATCCTTGGGGAGGCTTCACGTGGCACAAAGTACAATTACTGGTATCAGCTTTACAGAAACATAGCAGCCAAAGTTTCAACTGTTTCCACTCTCAGTATCTATAGGTGCAGTGAAGGAGGCTGCAGAGATTCACAGTCACCTTCATAATCTGCACAAACACACTCACGAGTGATCAGCAGAGCAACGCGGTCACTGTGGAGAACATATTAGAATCCATAAGGGGATCTGTGCCACAGCACTGCACATGGCGGAAGGCATGCGCTGATCCGGCCACGAGCGCTCACGCCTGATTGGCCCAGATGGGGCAGCCGCGGCCGGGCGACGTCCCCCTCGCTCTCTGTCACTGGAGTAGCTAAGCAGAGCAGCCAGGTTCACGGACCGCGGCCGGCACCCTGTCACTGCCTTGCCTGGCACACTCCACCACACACTGAGGCAGGAGGACACACACACACACACACACACACAGAGACACACACTGATGCACAGACAGACATGAGAGGAACACTGGCCCACACAGCGGCGAGCAACCAAAAGTAGTCGAGGACACAGCGGGGATTGCGTGATGTCCAAAATGTATTTCTGGAAAGGAAACATTTTTAGGGGGCATTTTTGTTGCCCGTGTAGTAATGATTCATCATAACAATAACCAAATGCACATATTACTCCCATTTCGTCACAGCTGTGTCAACGATGTCCCCTCCTCCCTCCCCTTATTTGCCACATTCGAAAAGGTCACGGCCTCCATTACTAGGCTGCGGAGCGTAGCTCAGAATAATGCACAGGTTTGTGTACCTTTAATTTATTTTCAGCATGGAGTGAGTTCTACAATCCGTTTGTCTATCAAAGCGTGTTTCTCTTACCTCCACCTTCTCAAGTGTCAACATTGATTTATTCCTCTGAACACGCACAGTAAACCCCAGCAGCTCCTTTCTTGAATGTGTTTGGTAACCATACCATTTTCACACTAATGCAGATATTTTGCACAACAAAATGTTTATTCGTCCACACGCAAATATCATTTTAAATCACTAACTGGAGATTTGTACAAACTTCGGTTTCTGTGTATTCATGTGTAAAACGAATCTTTTTGGAAACGATGACTTCACAGCTTACTTTGTTGACGGAACATTTCTTGCCACCTACTGGCCCGGCAGCTTTTATGAGCGTTTCTAGTCGTTCTTTCTTTTTCAAACGTAGGAGAAAATATCATGTTCCAAAGAAATATCCGCAGTAGTGTAGACAAGGCCTTGATGTTTATCCCCACATGAATCAGCAGAGTGGTGGCTCTTTAAACATCTCAGACATTAATTTAACTCAATTGAGCATCTACAAGGGTTCATGAAAAGCTAGAAGGAGACAAGCTAGACCAGGGTTATTTTTAGCCTCTGTTCCATATACAACATGTTCCTCCAGACACTAAGATGCTCCCAGGTCATTCTCAGTGTTTACTCTTATGGAAACCTTGTGCCTTTGACTTTTAACGGGGGCTTTATTGGACTCTCAGATATCACCAGAGTGGATTTTAGGATTCACAGGAAGAGTCTGGATCAAGTTTATCTAAATTAATTTCTTCCCTAGCCCTAAACCATAAATATATGAATGAGCTCATAATGATCACCATGGCAAGCATTGACATGTTTACAGGTTTAGTTATACTGTTTTACCAGATGATCCAGTAATAATACAACCTTTTTGAGTTTTATTTCAAACAAACCGGATATTTCTAAAGAGATGTTCGGTGAATTAATCATTTGTTAGTGGATAAAAACTAATATAAAGTAGATATCAGTTCTCTAAATGATGGTTTTCCTCTAGATCCATGAATAACTTCCTAATCCATGCTGCTGTTTTTGTGTAAACAATTTATCAGTTAGAAGTTTTATGTACAAAAATGCCCCTTAGTGAGGATTAGATGCTTTTCTTGTCACATATGAAAGTAAAAATTTGGGGTTTTGTATCATAGTGGATAAAACAATTTAAATAGATTTCGTAATAATTCGTTTTAGAAGTTTTTATTTGTAATAGATAAACTAATAAGATATGATTTTTTATTTCAAAAAGGAAAATTGCAGTCTTAACTAATGAATTAAATTTATCTTGATTGATTTCATGCTTTTCTGTCAACGTTTCTTCCGTATCATGCAAACTAATCACATTAGGGTGTCACAGTTAAGGTACTTTGTCCTCTTTTATAAAGAGTGTTTTCAGCTCTAGTTTAAATTGTGTTTTTGTTACGTTTTGAATTCATGTTTCAAGTTTGCTCTATGTCCCCTTGGTGTCCCTCGCTTGTGTTCATCTCTGTGTTCCCCTCTATGTTCCACCCTGTGCTTCTCCTGTGTTCATCCCTGTCATGGTTATTGTATTTTTGTCCTCTTTTATGAGTGTTTTCAGTTCATGTTTCAACAGTGTTTTTGTTACATTTTGAATTCATGTTTTAGGTTTGTTCAGTGCTCTGTTTCCTGTTTTATTTTGTAGTCCCTGCTCCCGGTGTGTTCTCCCCATTTGACTTCCTGCCTTCATCATGTTCACCTGTTTGTCTTGTGCCACCTGTCCCCACTTACTGATTAGTTCAAGTGTGTATTTAAGTCTTGGTGTTCCCCCCATGTGGTTGTTGGTTCGTCGTTGTCCCTCGTCATGTTCAAGTGTCCCGTCGTTTATCGTCATGTTCGTCGTCATTTACCTTCGTCACGTTCATGTGTCCCGTCACCTCTCGCCACGTTCCTCGTAAGTTCTTTCATGTCTTTCCCTGTGCCATTCACCTGTCTTGTGTGAGTTCAACTTTTGATTTATTGAAGATTCTTTTTGTTACATTTTTACCTTAAAATAAAGGACACTTTCTGTTAAACCGCATTTAGTTCTGCGTCTTGGTCCTACCCTCTCCCTTTTCCTACCACGTTCCCCCCTTCCAACCTGACATAGGGCTGTGAACAGTGATTTCTTTCATAATTTAGTGATAATTGTTTTCTGCCTTGACAAACAATAAGGACAGACCCGAAAGCCAAGTCAGTAAGTCTTCAGTTTTGTATAAACAAGCTGCTATGAAACTTGAATCTTGATTAAATCAATGAAATGAGGAAATAATTTGTTGATTCTTTATGAAATGATCCTTAGATTCTGACCAAATTTGAATCCTGCTTTTTTACTGACCTTATTCTTAACTAGAAGGTGACTCAGTAGAGTTCATACGTCTGCAGAGGACCACCAGTCCCCTTATGAAACCACATTTGATTCTGACTTTTATTTGGATCTGCACCAAATTGCACACACTCATCAATCAGTCCCACAATTATGTCTTTTTTTTTCCATCAAGATCCATCAATTGTTCCCTGAGAAATTGAAATTGCGGAAAAAACATCTGATCTCACAAAGTTAAAGAAATTAAAAAACCTGATCCAGATCCAAACGAAATTTTGCTGAGTTCTTTCCTGACCCACACCACATCTGCCACCAAGCTTCATGGTGGTTTGTTGTTTTTGAGTAATCTTGCTTACACACAAACAGAAAGGGGTTAAAACCTTGAAGGCTCGCTGATTAGATTAGATTTTTTCCCCATGGAAATCTATTTCTGAAGAAGTTCATGTTTACGATTTATTGTGATTAATTTGATTACACTGTAAAGCAGAGGTTGAATAACGCTTCCTCACCAATAGACCGATAAATCCACCTGTCAGCTTCCTTGTGCCTCCATTTATTTTTTGGCACAAAACACAGAAGCAGCAACTCCTTTAGCCTTTTTTTGTTCTTTCCTGTTACATCACGGACACGTGATGTGTCTCCCAGGACGGTTCTGTCCTGTCCTTTCCTCTCTGTCTCTTCTCCTGGAGTCATGTTTAAACAAAGTAACATTCATACATGAGTGGGTTTCCATGGCCACAAGGCCTCAGGATTTTCTGAGCCACAGCCCACCATGGTGTGATGGGTAGGAAAAAGCCCAAAGGGGCGCACAGATGCTCTCGTGCTACTAGGGTAGCCTTGCTGATAGCCTCACAGACTAACACTTTGAGACTCTACGTCTAAAACAAAGGGGAAAAAAGGGAGGGTGGGGTGGAGGGGGTTCACTTGACAGAGGAGCTTAAGGCCTAACTTTAAATAGCTCTGTGCTCTGTCAGATTTTTTTCTTCCTTTCTGTTTATTATTGGTGCGGGCCTCTGCTGCATGGGACAAACTTGAACACATGAGGAGAGCAGCGAGCTGAGCCTCTCTGCTAAAGAAGCCTCAAGACAGACCGTTTACATAAAGTTTAACTCAGCTGACGAACGTGTTTGTTCTGAGAATGATAATGACTTAGTGGTTGTATGCCCCCAGCAGCTGCAGGAGCAGCAGCAGCAGCTTCTTCTGCTGGCACAAGGCGATTGTTTCTGGATCTCATCATTGCTCCTGCCTCCAGCCTGGTGTGGGAGCTCAAGAGAAGTTGCAGCCCCTCGGCTCCAGCTACACACTTCCCCTTCAAGTCAGTGAACCCGTCTCAAGCACTTAACCCGGGGGTTTGTTTTTGTTCCTTTTGGTACATTTTCCACTTGTCTTAAAGCCGCAGTCCTTAAGATTTTGGTCCTGGTGGATTTGACAACACCCGCGATTATCATGATGCAATAAATGTAGCTTTATATCACTAGAAACATTCCTTTAGAAGCTTCGATTTCATAAATCCAACAAAGGAGTTTTATTGTGCAGGAAAAAACACTAATGTTGCTTTAAAAAGTGAAAAACTATCCTCAAACAACCTGATGAAAATGCAGCATTTTATTGCCTCTGCCAAGGAATTTGTTTTCGACTGTACCTCTGTTTCTGTTTTGATTTATTTGTTAGCAAAATTATGCTAAATCTATTTAAGTGATATCTACCATATTTCCTGAAGGAATAGGGCCTGGGCCTGGAAAAAAGTTAAAAATTGTATTATTTGTATTTATTTAGGGCAGATCTTTGTTCTTTTAACATTTAAACATTTTCATTGATATACAACAATTATTAGAAAATTGTAGGAAATCAGACCACTTTTTATTTCATATTACCACTATGAGACCTACAGGAAGAAGGAGGTTTCTGATTTGAATCCTGGCGACCTGTCCCTGGTGTATCTCGCCTCTGACACAATGTCAGCTGGGATTGGCTCCAGCTCCCCCTGCAACCCTCAAAGGATAAACATTATAGATAACATCTGGATGGATGGAATTTCTCAACTGTATAATTTTTACTCTCCTATGCCTAACCTAACATTGAATGTAACATGCTTTACAGTAAAATAAAGTAACCTAGTTGATAGGCTGGAGGCATGCAGCCTGTTTCATGCAAACTGTGGCTGCTCCTGACTGTGAAACTAAGTAATAATACATTTCTGAAAATGACTGACTAGTTGCTTTTTTAGACGTATTTTTGTTAACTTGTTAAGATGGTGACACATAGTGTTCCGTGTGGCCTATTCACATTTAAAGTAATGGGAAGTAATTTAATACAGCTCTGATACACTGTAAAGATGTGTGAGGCTTTTATCAGTGAGGTAAAAATGTTATGGATCGTGTCCATGCTTGGACTCTGAGCTGTAACTTAAAGATGACATTTTCCATCACAAACTTGTCTTTACTTTATCACTTCTTGTAACAGAAGCTGTATGTATCCGTTAACAAAAAGAGCCGTTACTCTGTCCGTGTCTTAATGTAGGCAAACGTAAGCACTGTGCTGTGTGGTCCTTAGCGTGATGTAGGAGGCTTCATCAGGTTGCTGTACACACTGCTGTGCTCCTCGGCTGTGAGGCGGCCCTGAAGGAGATTCCTCAGGCAACAATGGGCTTATGGAGTCCATATTCTCAGCTCAGACACCATGTTTAGGCAATCCTTAATCAGACTCAATCTCTTTATCAAGCATGTGACGAGGTTTGATCCTAAAGAAAATACAGATCTGTCAACATTATACAACTATCCACACGTGGCATTTCAATAACTTTTGTGTGGCCCCTGTGGTTTATTTAAATGTGTCCTTATGTTATTTTTTCCCTCTGTTTTTCTTTTCATTGTTTTGCTTGTTCATTTGTCTGTGGACGGCATTCAGACCGTATTGATGACAATGTTTGCCTGGTTTCTTTCATTTCTGGCATTTATATACAATGTCAGTTTGAGCAAAATCCTATTTTGTACACAACCAGACCTGTCAGCTGACATGACAAGCATGATTGGGTGATTAAAGTTGCATTGGAACAAGTGTAACCGTAGGCGAGGACATATTGTTGTTCTCCAGTCATTCAGCATGGTTCCCTCTGAGCTCCTCCATCCATCCCTCTCATGCCTTTTTCACTCGCTTTCTTTCCACCCCTTCGCGACATCCTTTAAGTGCTTTGTGGGAAATTTGATTGCTTGGTTCCGTTAACATTCACTCACCATCTGCTGAATTTGGCTGCGGCTGTGAATCAATTCTTAATGTTGGCAGCTTTTGCGTTGACTTGCCTCCTTATCTTCCCCCTGGTCTTCCGGCATGTTTTGATCCATAAGCACCAAACAAAACAACAGTAGAATCCACGGCTCACGGAGATGACATCAACATAAAAGACGAGGCCTGCACGGGCATCTGTCATGGAACGAAAAACAGGAGAACAAGCGGCAGACATTTTAACTGTCATCGTAGGAAAAGGGCGGCTGTTACCTGACATTGACACTGGCTCCGTTCTATTCAGGTGTCCCCTCTAAGCTGTGACAGTGGGTACAATGATATAAATCAACATAATTCATCATTCATTTGTTAATTTACAATACACAACTGCACAGAGGCCTAATGCCAGTAGAATTAGTTTTTTTTTAAATCAACATATAGAGGAATAAACTTCACAAGAAAAGAAATCATGGTTTTGGTTCAATATATAAAGTTACTTAAAGCTAGGGTTGGTAATCCTGGATAAGCGAAACCCCCTCCTATCAGGCCTCTTGTAAGAGCTACGCTCCAAAACACATGATGCCAGCGAATTCGAACCAAATTAAATTATTTCTCATGTAAATCAAACTTTAAAAATGTGATTAAATCAAGTTAATCTTATACATAAATCTATACACAAATCTCCTGCAAGTTATTTGATTTATTCACACTAACATGGTAGAAAACCTTTCAATGAAAGTAACTCATTACATTGAACTTATGTAATAAAGTTACGTAGAACTTTAATATGTAATTGAAATACTTGAATCCAGAATCATAATTTTTTTTTTTAGATTAGATTAGATTCAACTTTATTGTCATTGTACAGAGTACAGGTACTGAGACAATGAAATGCAGTTTAGCATCTAAACTGCATTTCGTTGTCTCAGTTTAGACATCCACCATCCACCTCAACAAATATTGACTTATCTGTTTTCTTCACATAAAAAAACGATGCTTGTGACCATAATCCAGGCATGAATATAATTCTTATCACATTAAATTTGGAAGACAGGTTAAACCCCTTTAATATCCATACACGATCTGAATATCATATTACATGGTGAAGCTTTCCACCAGAAGATTTCACCGAGATAATAGGAAATATAAACACTACCATCTTCAGTTTTGTCAGATTAATCATTTAAAGAGTTTAATCCTTTTTACCCTTGAATGCATTTTCATTGTCAAGCCACAGAAATGACCAGCTGGAGGGCTCCTCATGCCCTCTCCATTTCTCCACATGGCTGAACGTTGGAGGGATTTGTCCTAATAAGGCCCCTGTCTTATGGAAATGGGGTTTATAAATCAAAAAGTAGTTGAGCAGTGCAGTTGCTAAACTCAAAAGTGATGAAATATGTTAAGTGCTTTAGTTCATTAAGCCTTTTCTGTGTGATTCAGCCTCAACTCAGAGATCTTCTGTTATAAACAGAGGCAAAAGAGATATTATAGTGGAGCTGCTGCGACCCACTGTTTACTGATTTATCTCCTCACCACTCCCCCATTAATCTGTTATTTACACCAACATGTATCTGGAGATCCTGTGATCTCGTGGCTTGACTTCATTGAATTCCGGCTGAACTCTGTCCTGTCGCTTGATAAACCTTGGCCCCTTCCTGCAGCGGAGGTCACGACTGTTTTCACCCCTTTAGGCGAGTGCAGTGACGGTGGAGTGACAGTGTCCATGGTGCAGGCAGAGGAAAGTGCATGGTGGCTGATGATTGCTTCACATGGACTGACTTAGTACCCAGATATTAAAGTATAATAGCTTGAGAGATCCTTGTCCCCTGTCATTCATGGCCGGAAATAAATATGAACGATGTCCTGTGGATTAGTCTGAACAAACAGGGTCAGGGTCAGTGTCTGCCAACACAATCCTATGTTCTGATTGTCCCATGAGCGGAGGGACTTGCTGAGCGTATCCTTGAGCTTAACCGAACCATTCTGGAGCAGAGGGTTAATTATCCCTTCAAGGCAACAAACAAATTGCTCTTATGAAAAGAAAAAGAGGTTTTCACAGAGATGTTTGTTTTTAGATAAGTTTCCTAATGTTTCAGGCCAACAAAGTTCTTAAAGATTCCAGATTTTAATCCAACCTGATTATTAAAAACTGCATATCGCATACACTGAAGCTTGCTCTTCAACAAGCAAACATTTAACTTCCTTCACTTCATGGCCAACTGCACTTTAGACAAACAGGAGGTTCATTTAAACAGTAAAAAGATCTTAGGTTAGCTTCCATACAGATTTAAATAAACCTCATGAATTTTATTCATTGTATGAAAATTAATATAGACTGCAGTAAGTATTTGAACTGACCTGACTGGTATTAAAATGTGACACCATTTCCATGTACTAAAGATGAAGAGGGATTTTTTGACAGAGTTGAGTCTTTTGAGAAATTACAGGTCTTGAACTGGAATCATTTCCTTTACATGTATCGATTTAATATGAAAATGAGCAATAAAACTGCAGGACACAATCTTCCTTCTGTTCCTGAGTTGTTGAAAAATGGACTAAAAAATCGCAGTGAAGTTAAGCTTTGACCTTTTATACACAAAATCTATTCACTCCATCATTTCATCCTATTTTGTTATAATTGCTGTGTTCATTTTCTAATTGTGGCCGAAAAAACGTTTTTTCTTTTGGTCACCTTGACCCTTTGACCTTTTGACCTTTGACCATCCCAATCTAATCAGTTCATCCTTGAGTCAGAGTGAGCATTTGCAGGAAATTAGAAGAAGCTGTTTCAATGCGGACAAGATGGAAAGATAGACAACCCAAAAATGTAATGGCTCTTGCCTCGGCTGTGGCGGGCAGGGAGGCATAAAACCTGTAGTCTGTATCAAGAGGGGAGGGAGTGAAAGTGTGGGTGAGGGTCTGGCAGCAGACTACTCACTCTGCAGACCACAACCCACAGGTGGACAAGAACATCAGTTCTAACTGAATTATTCATGTCAACAGTGAGGCTCAGTTGCAGATTATCAAGGATTCATGTCAGCAGCTTAAGTCAAATGAAACATTAATTAGAACAAGGAGTTTCTCTCTCTCTCTCTCTCTCTCTCTCTCTCTCTCTNTCCTGCTCTTA